CTTGGGACCTGTTGCACTCCTGTATGAGTGCAAAGATTAAGTCTCCTTCACATTCTTTCCCCTCACGGTGAGTCCATTCTCCAAAGAATGGACATTGCTTGGAGTGCGGTCTAAGTTTATATGTATGAAAAATGATAATTCTGGCTAAGCAGTTTGTGATAGTATGCACGTTCAATGTGAACACACAAAAAAGGAAATAGCATGATGACAGTTATGCAGGCTGTAAGATGATTTCTAAAGTTCCAAAATATCCAGATACTGAATGTATAAATCAGTCATTGCATGTCCGCGGAATGCAAGGACATATTTTTTTGGATGAGAACCTGGAGGCATTGGGGAGCGGGGGGCACTTTCATGTGAGTCGGGGCCCCCTGACGCGGAACTCTACACACGCCTAGGGCCACGACACACAGGCAGTTGAGGAAGCGACGTGAGCTGGTGCAGCCACTCGTTTTCCATTTATAAAATAATTAGAAACGCCTCAATCAATTCGCTACAACTTTGTTAAATGTCTCCCATGTAAATGGCCGGGTTTCCAATGCATCGCCGTGTAGAGACAACTTTTGGTGCAAAGGCCAAACGGGCAACTGTGAGTAATTTTTGGCTTCATATGATCTAGGTCAGGGGTCTCATACTCATTCTTGTGGAGGCCCAATAACCCACCCTTGAAGAGTTGAGGGCAAGTGTAAGGCAAAGGGGGAAGGGGGAGGGAGGGAAGGGAGTGAAGGAGGAGGGCTGAGAGATTTTTATTAAGAAGGAACCTGATGCTTTCTGCTTTTTGTAAATTCAGTTGTGCCAGTGACATCTTTAAATTTAATTTCTTTATAGGACTACTTTCGGCCCTTACCTGTTGTGATAAGAAGTTAGAATGGCACCGCCCCACCAACATGCTGGAATTTTTTATAGAGCAATTCAATTCGAAATTAGGTGAACTTAATAGGTCTAATATATATACAGTGAAACCCATTTAGAACAAACCCATGTACAGCGAATTATTTTCGATATTGAACTCGCGGAAAATTTAGGTAAAAATGGATGTAAAAAGTATGTTTTATAACGAACAACATATTGACTATATCGAACTTTTTCCCCCGGGAAGCTTCCAAAAACGCACAAACAATCGTCTTGTAGCCTGTCCCTTCCCCAAGAAAAGAAGTAGGAAAGAAAGGAAATTCAAAAAGCTCAAGTTGCGAACAAAGTTGAGCTAAGAGAAGTGGTTCAGAAAAGGGGGGGGAGGAGAGAAAGCTAGAAAATACACTCTGCACACACGCAAAAAAAAAATCTTTTCACCTCAAAGCGTTTGCCCACGAGGAGAAGCGATTCAGGAGAGATAAGCTAAGAAAAAATAAACTGCACAAAAAAAAACTGTTTAGCGTGCTGTTTTAAGGCGGAAGTGAAGAGATGAGAAAGAAAGAGGCTCTCCTTACAACGAACTCATCGTGGACGTTTGTTGTAAATGTTTTTTTGCTATACCGAACTGATCATAGCATTTCTTGCTGTTTGTTATAAACGGGTTTAATTGTATATAGGAGGTATATATATTTTCACGGCAGGTTCTGCTTTCGTCAGTAGCAGCAATCTTTGAATATACTTGTGTTTTAATGGTGATATTTTCTGATGGTGAAAATAGTAGAGGAATTACTGTATAGGTAATTATATGGTAAAAAGCTGGAAAGCAATAATTAAACCAAGGCAAAATAAAACTATAACAGCAGAACTATGTTTCAAACGGGAGCGAATCGACGACATGAAGTATGGCGTTTATCATTTCTACCTCTCGAGGGCTTGCAGCGAGTTGCCTGCGGGCCACGTCCCAGCGAGTGGCGGGCCAAGTGTTTGAGACTCCTGATCTAAGTACACTCATTGATCCATGATGTATCAATGTTTCAACATACCCTTTCTGATTCTCCATCAAGAAAAACTTCCAAGACATGCCGCTCATTCTTGCTCATCGAAACATACACAAAGTGTGGTCCATTTGGAAGTACTCCTTTTAGGCCTATGAAGTTTTGCCTTTACTTATTTATATAAAATACCATGTTTATATGTTTGGTCAAAATGTGTATGAATGGAAGGATGGACATTGATGGCCGTACCCTGTATAATAGGCTTTAGCTTGTGCCATTTAGTGTAAAAACAAAAAAATGTGATTCTGCCCTTTTTAAAGGAGCGATGCAGCGATTTTTCTATTTTGCACAAATACCGCTTAGAACGGATCCCTGACGTTAATGACCTGTGAAATACCCGTTTGTTTTTCACCACACGCAATCGAAGTCGCAGAAAAAAGTAAAGAAAAACGCGCCGGGTTCACCGCCTCAACTCGCAGCCACAACAAGCGGCCATGTGATCTGGAGCCGATTATATGCCGCCAATGTTGATCATAGCCATGCGCTGGGGTTGGCAAGGCACAGTACACGCGCTGAGTCCCAGACAATGTTATGGTTCGGCTGTTGTCGTCATTGCAGTGATTAGACACCGGACACTACCCGAATTCTTCTCGAGCTGTCGATTATCACGAGCCCAAATCGAGTGTCCACGCCATGCTCGGGTCCAATCAATGAGCCGCATTCAAATATCGTCACTGGTCGGTACTGCTACCGCCCAGCTACGTCATCAGGTTTTGCGAAGGAGAGATTGAATGAAAACTTTCGGTTTTGTCCTTGAAATTACAGCGCAACAAAGGAGTTTCTTGGTCAGTAGCGTTGCGTGAGAGTATCCATGAGTCCCACTAGTGCCAGTAAGCTCGTGTAAAGTCAAAAACATTACAATTGAATATCGTTACACCACCCCTTTAAGCCAATGCATTTCTCTCAATATCACCGGGCCGTGGAGGTTATTGCTGGGATGACCCTTAAAGGGGCCCTCCGGAGTGTTCTGCGATGATCTATCTATGGCGGTAACTCAATCTACAGGCCCTGAGGATCCTAAAAATCATAAAATAACGCTCATGCCCGGCGGTTTTCGTATTAAAATCGATATCAAAGTCCACGGCACGCCCCCCTTTCTGAGATGACCCCGGAAAACGGGAGGGGCATCTCTTTACGCGTCAGCCAATAGCAAGCGAAGGATCCGGTGTCACTGTGCGTCACCAACGCGGCCGACCACTGACCCGCGGAGGAATCTCGAACACGCGCGGACCGTCGTCAAGGAGCCCGGACTTTGTGCTCGGCAGTCCTTCTGTGGAATGCGACTGCAATACGCAGTCGCATTCCACAGATGACAAGGAAAAGTTTGACTCGTTGACGTAAAAGGATCGCAAAGCCGGCTTCGGAGTCGGGATCCATGGGAAGAAGGAACACGCGTCCCGCAAACGCACGCCTGCAGATGCCCCGGGAAGCAGACGAGCCGACGCATCACCCCCTAGCAACAAGCTTGCGGGGAGAAAACATAGTTCGCTGGTTTTGGAGCGATAATTGTGGACTATGTTTCCCGCAGCACACCCAGTTTACGTTTTTGTCAAACTCTAAATTACAACAAGCTTAAAAATGTTGCAATAATAACGTTCGCATTCACCGCGAGATGCAGCATTTCCATTGGTCAAGTTTTAGCGATGGGCAGGGAATGGGGGATTGTCTTCCAAGAGAAAACAGTCCCGATATATTTCTTCTGCCATCTGCTTAATAAATGGTTTTGTAACCTAAAACTTTGTATACATATTAACTTGCACCTACTACGCAATATAACAACATAAACAGACAATCGCAGAAAGCTCCGGAGGGCCCCTTTAAGGGATCGGGTAAAAAAACCAACATGCACCCCCCTCCTCATTTCCTTGTTGAGGGAGTTGCCAATTTTCTGTTGGTGTCGCCCCAACACCAAATCGACTGGGGTAGAAAGTTTAGACCTTGGGCAACAGTCACAAGGGAGTCCCAATTTTTCTCCTGTCCCCCAGCTGTGCTACTTAGTTGTTCTTAAATCAGTTTTCTCAAGATAATTTTCACCAGCACTCTGACCTCCTATCTATTGCATCTGCTCTACAGTAATCCAAACTGCCATCCTCTCCAGCGAAACTCAGGGCCTCCGGTACATCTGTCGTGCTTGGGAAGGGCAGCACTAGTCCTTACATGTTATAATCACGTTCCAATTGTTTCCCTCCTCATTACACATGGTGCACATTTTATCTATATCTTCAAATTTAGCCCTGCATGTGTTTATTTTTAAGACTCGATCCTGTCCTGACCTGAGCTAGTTAAGTGCTTCCTCTGAAATTATCACCTTAGCAAGGTGTGCCCACAGTTATTGAACTGACTTTCTTCCAAAACGTGACTGCCTGTAAATGTGAATAGACGAGACCCGACAAGGTAGAAAAGCAGCCATAGATTACAAGCCTGAAGAACATCACAACGTAAGGAGAGAAGGAAAGGATACACACTTGGCTGGAAAGCCCCAATAAATTGAACCATTGTTTGATGCCAAAGTTTTATGCCTTTCAAAGGAAGCACAACCTACAGCAGACAGTTGTGAAACCTTCTGTGAACATTGTAACCCAAGGTCTTAAGTAAGCTATTTTCTTGTTGTTTATTAGTGGTTCCTCTTGTGTCTGTAATAATAAGACAAACCTGGATGTATTTATTTAGTTGACAAAACTAGCTGTCCATAGTCTGAACGTCAGGTTTTAATATTCACAAGGCAGAGTTTCATAGAGTAGGTTTGGTCCCCCAAAATTGTGTCTATAGGGAGACGTCTATATTAACGAGACAAGACTGCATCACATGTTGAAGTTCTTTTACTGATAACTTCAAGGAAGACCTTGAAGACCAAGGTCTTCAAGTCCTTGGTCTTCCTTGGATTAGACCAAGGAAGACCAGCCCCCAAAAGTATTCACATCCAGATTCTAAATCCAGAGGTACTGCACCAAAAACATTTTCTTGTCACAAAAAGTTCATTTTTAGAAAACAGAAAAACTTTCCGAATGTGAGAAGATATGTAAAGTGTAATTTGGAAATCAAGATAAAATGTATTACTTTTTTTCTAGGATTTCCACTGTTCAAAATTAGGAAATGGTGCCAGTTGCATATGACTGCTTGCGTGAATTAAATTTCAAAGTGCAGCAAAATATTAAACTGCACAGCTGTGGCAAAACTGCATTAATGACTACTCTTTCCCAAACTAAGTTCTATCTTGGTTGGGCTTTTTTTGTGTGTCAATACATATGGTTTTTTCTTCTAGGGGATAGTGCAACGTTGTTGGGGGAGACAAGCTGCAGATTGAAAGTCACTGAGGACATCTGGTTCAGATGCTGTTCCTGCACCTATGTCACCAGAGATCAGCATGGAATTGTGAGCCACTTGGCTGCCCATGGTGAACAATCCAAGTGCCAGCATCCTTCCAAGTCTGGCTCTAGGACCCATGTGCTTGGCAACACTCAAAAGCACAACAGTGAAAAGCCATTTAAGTGCAAGCTTTGCCCTCAAGAGTTTGCTTATAATTCTATTCTGACCTGTCACAATCGAACACACACTGGTGTCAAGCCATTTAAGTGCAAGAAGTGTCCTAAAGCCTTTGCTCAAAATTCTCAACTACAACGCCATACTCTAATGCACACTGGTGAAAAGCCATTTAAGTGCAAGCAGTGCCCCCAAGCCTTTGCTCGAAATTTTCAACTCCAAAGCCATATTCGAACACACACCGGTGAAAAGCCATTCAAGTGCAAGCACTGTCTTAAAGCTTTCACCCGAAATTCCTATCTGCAAAGCCATAATAGAATGCACACTGGTGAAAACCCATCCAAGTGTGAGCAGTGCCCCAAAACCTTTGCTCGAAACTCCGAACTGCAACGCCACACTCTAACCCACAATAATGAAAAGCCATTTAAGTGCAAGCAGTGCCCCCAAGCCTTTGCTCAAAATTCCCATCTTAAACGCCATACTCTAAAGCACACTGGTGAAAAGCCATTTAAGTGCAAGCACTGTTCAAAGCCTTTGCTGAAAATTTCAATCTGAGAGTTCATAATCGAATGCACACTGGTGAAAAGCCATTTAAGTGCAAACAGTGCCCCCAAGCCTTTGCTCAAAATTCCCATCTTAAACGCCATACTCTAATGCACACAGGTGAAAAGCCATTTAAATGCAAGCAGTGCCCCCAGGCCTTTGCTCAAAATTCTCAACTACAATGCCATACTCGAATGCACACTCGTGAAGAGCCATTTAAGTGCAAGGAGTGTCCCCAAGCCTTCGCTCGATATTCAAATCTGAGAAGTCATAATCGAATGCACACTGCTGAAAAGCGATTTCAGTGCAATCAATGCCCCCAAGCCTTTGCTCAAAATTCTCAACTACAACGCCATACTCTAGTGCACACTGGTGAAAAGCCATTTAAGTGCAAGCAGTGTCCCCAAGCCTTTGCTCAAAATTCCCATCTGCAAAGCCATAATCGAATGCACACTGGTGAAAAGCCGTTTAAGTGCAGGCACTGTTCCAAAGCTTTTGCTCGAAATTCATATCTGAGAAGTCATAATCAAACACACACTGGTGAAAAGCCATTTAAATGCAAGCAGTGTCCCAAAGCCTTTGCTAGGAATTCCCAACTGCAACTCCATACTCTAACCCACACAGGTGAAAAGCCATTTAAGTGCAAGCAGTGCCCTAAAGCCTTTGCTCAAAATTCCCAGCTGCAACACCATACTCTCATGCACACTGACAAAAAGCCATCTAATTGCAAGCAGTGCCCCTAAGCCTTAGCTCGAAATTCCCATCTGCAAACCTATAATCGAGCACACACTGGTGAAAAGCCATTTAGGAACAAGCAGTGCCCCAAAGCCTTTTCTTATAGTAGCAATCTGATTAATCATTGTCAAACACATTGTGTTTAAAAACCATACAAGTTGAAACAGTGCCCCCAAAACTTTGCTCAGAATATGAGTTTATCTGCCAGAACCAGATGCACATTTGCAGAGTGCCTTTCAGTTGACCCTTAAGTTGAGCTTGCCCCACACTATTGTGCACCACAACATTTCTTGCTACCGGTTGGGACACTGCTAGTTGAAGGTCCCTCACACTGCCCAGCAGGTTTTTCGAATCTATTGGCACTGTTCCCATTTTGAATACAGTGTAATGCCCCTTCGGTACTGCACTGACGAAAGCTGTGGATAGTTTGGAACTGGACTAACATGCTCTTACTCAAAGTGTTTTCGTATTCGCATTTCACAGTCAGGTATTTAAATGACACCTGTTTTTAGATATCACTTTGACTTGTGTTTTATAGCTCCCAGTATTGTCTTGTTCCGTGGTCATGTTCCTGGCATTTGTTTCCGTGTTGCCTGGCTGTCTGCATCAGAATTTTCTGACCATAGGTGTCATTGTTTGCTGGAAAATTCCTTTTGTTTTGTGTGACGCGGGAGAGTAGTTTCTTTGATGGCTTACATTCTTATATTTTTTAATAGACTGAGGGGGATCAGTGAAGCTAAGTCTCAAAGAATACTAACTCAGCTGTGGATTGGCTTTGGTTACAGGATCTTTTAAATCGTTGTTCAGTGTATGTTTATTTTTGTATTGTGTAGGTAATTTAGAAGGAAATCTTTATTACATCAATTTTTTTGTTTATGTTTGTTTTGAACGAAATCTGCAGATGATAAATATGTAACCAGACTTCTCTTTTACCGTTCCTGAGATATAAAGGTTGACAGTCAAGGACCCAGTGTTAGCTTTTCTTTTCTTCCATCGCAAATCTTAGCTGAAGCAAATTTGCTACGGGCAGAGTAGCTCTTTAGAAAGTTCCCATTTTGCCATCCTGCTTGAAGGTGGGGTCTCACTGGAGCAGTTAAAAGAGTGGTGGCTTCTGGTGTTGGTTCTGACAGTATCCCAGTTCCTGCCCTCTAGCAAATTTATACATCATGTTTTGAGTGTGGATGTTTGATGCATGTGAAGGCATTGCGCTGCACTCCCAAATCTTGTGAAAAAGAAACTTGGGACTGTAGGAGAACTTTGGACCGATTTTGTTGGGCTGATACTCCTCAGCACAAGCACCTTCGTAATTGCATATTGTTAACCGACAGTTGCTTCTTTTCAACCGTCACTACCTAGCACTTGCGTGACTGCAATATTTTGTGGCACCCGGCACTTGTTCCTGGGGCCAGTAGTTGTCTCGCTTTGCCAGGATTATAAATTGGATGTCGTCCTACAAGTTGCAGTGCTTCTTGCTCATTTTCCTATAGCTTTAGAAACACTGCAGCTAATATATGGTTTGGAGCATGTGGAAAATGACAACAGATGCATGTACAAATTCTAATAACAGTCTCGTTCGTTTGCAATTTGTGCTGAGTTGAGAGGTGTTTGGCCATCCGTGGATTTGATGAAGGCGAGAAAGACATGTAGGATCACTGGAAAAGTGAGAAAGTCGGCGCGTTTCTTTTCAACGTCCAGCCTCCAGCACGTGCTTTATGTCTTCCGGCATACTTCAACAATGTGTGCGCGTTCAGGAAAGACAGCAGTTGATGTTGCTCCATTTATCTTATGCTCACTAGACAAAATAAATTCAGACATTTCCTGCTCTTTAATTTTAGTTGAGAATTCAGAAGTCAAGAAAACCTCACTTTCATTTATTTAGGCTGTACAAAAAAAGATGTATTAACACCAGAAAAAAAAAGATAGGCGTTTAAAGGTCTTGAAAACGTACAGCTGTCGGAAAAATTATAAAGAGCTTTGACACTAAAGTGGAGAGGAAAGCCTCATATATTACATCTTACTCAAGCTCGTCGATCTTAATGCTCGTTGTAAGGCACCAAAGCAAAAACCATAACACCAAAACAAACAAAAAATTAAAGAAGCTAGACTTTTTCACGAGTGTGAGATAGGATGAAACTTATTCTTTTTCACATACCAAGCATGCAAAGCGAACGAGGAAGAATAATTTTCACGCTGAATCATATCTGCTGCGAGCGCCAGGCCTCAGCCAGCCGTCGGATGGCTGTGCTCCGGCCCACAGTTCCCTCACCCAACCCCCAGAACCTTCCTATACCTACCATTATACTTCAGCCTCTGTCGCACTTACTATCAAGTTCACAACTGCTTTCTCCCTGAGAAATGACAACTGACGTCAACGTTTCAAAGCTATTTTGGAAATTGAAGGCAGGTGGCACCACGTGCCGCGACCTCTGCACCATGGTCATTAAGATTATGCATACTAACTCTATACTCTGTTTCACCTTCAGTCCGAGTGCAGCGGACCTTACGAGCCATCCCAGCCAATCCAGCGTGGAAAGAGTCTCATGTGATTTTGAGCTCCCTGCGTCGCTCTGCCCAACCGGCAGGTCACGCGATTTTCTCCCGGCGCTTGATCGGCTGGAATAGCTCGTGGCGTCGACTGCGCTCGGACTGAAGGTGGAACGGAGTATAGAAAAGAAGGTCCGTCATTTTCCCATGCATTCTGGCTGCCGCTAGCGGCGGGGCATGGGGGTAGACCTTCGGCGTCCCACACATGGTTACCAACTGCCTTCGATTTTACGATTTTAATTATCATCAGAGCAGTTTAATGAACTTCAACAATCCACATACTTACCGGTGGAAAGATATTCGCGTTCCTTTCGAAGCTTTTTGCGCAGCGCGCAGGTGTACGGCCTCGTCAACGCAAAACTAAACCAGATACTGGCTTCGCCGGTCGGGTGCGCCCAAGAAATACGAAACCAGGCAACCACCAGATTTCCGAGATTTCGACAGCAGGGAAATTAATGCAGCGTAATGAGTATATTGCTCTTTATAAGCGTTATAATAGCTCAGAATTTAGTTTACAACACTAAATAATCACTGTTTATATTGCTGAGTTTTCAGTCTTCGCGATTACCATTGCGACTGTCCTTCAGCTGTCAACATTGCTTTCTTTCTCTCATGTTACGTTGCTCTCTTTCGCGATCTTTCACTCAGGACTCCGGATGTCAGTGCAAGGGATTTGCCACTTTTCCTCATTCAACTAACTATTGTGACTAAAAGGAGAAGGTGTGACTATCGGAGGAGGCAAGGCCGTCCCGCTGCATGATGATGCCGCGAGTGGCGCTGTCGTCAGCAGCGCGATCAGCCCGTTCCGTGTCCACGCTGTCGTCTGCACGTTGTCGCGGTCAGTTCAGTTTGCTCTCTGAGCCCCGATGTAACACTTGTGTCACAAGAAATCATAGACTGAGATTTTAATTTTGTTCGACCGACGTAGTGTGTTATTTGGGTATTCGCAACTCTCTTGAGTTTTAATCATTGGCTGATCACGGAATCTTGCGCGCAGGGGCAATCCGAGTACTTGCCTTTATCTTGTGATGAGTCAGTATGGAGCGAGATTGGATTTGAAAATTTTCAGTGTCGTGCTACAAGCGAAGGACGATAATGACTTGATTTGTCATTGTTTAATGTTCATGTTTTCTTTACTGCACTACTTAAACTGTTGTCCAATAATCCAGTGGTACAAGCGAGTTTATGCATATTAAATATGTGAAATTGAGTACCCGAGAAAGCAGAATTTTACTTATGTAAAGGGATACTGAACCGAAATCTGGATTTCACAAAGTAAGGCTGCAGAAGTGTTGAACGGGACGCTACGAACCCCAAAACATCACCCGTACATCGATATCTCAAACGGATGGCCGTACTTTTGGAAAAGAAGGGCGCGATCAAGCGAGTTCTTTGACGTAACTGTCCTCCGGGAGAATTGGAGAATGAGGAGAAGCGGCCTCGCTTCTCTCCTCCTCGCTTCGGTTCACCAGCTTGACGGGACGTAGCGAGGAGGAGAGAGAATGGGAATTGTGACGTGCCTTGTCTCGTCGGCCGAATTCAATTGCGCACTTTTCCAAAAAAATATGGCAATCCGTTATATATATCGCCGTATGAGTGATATTTTTTAGTTTTGTAGCTTCCCGCCTATCTGCCCGGCCTTGTTTAGTGAGCTCGAAATTTCGGCTCAGTATCCCTTTAAGGCTTTGTGTTCTTGCATGCAGGTAGTCGATTCTTAGAGCTTTGTATATGTCTATTGGGACTTTTCTCGAAAATACTATTTCTAACAGTTTCATAAATTTGTGTATATAATTAATAGCCTTTGCACATCACACCAAAATAAAGGGTGAATTGCACAATGTAACATACTTTAACGCCAACCCAAAGAATGCATGAACACTTTAATAAGCACAAAACCGAAAACAGGGTTGTGAAGATCTCGCGAACAGCACCAACATGAGCCGGCAGTCAGTCTCATAAGTCAGGATTTCTCGACAACAGAACAACTATGTAAACAGTTCAGTGGTCAAAAATTTATTTATTTATTCAAAATACCCCTAAAGGCCCTCTGTAGGAGGGTGTTTCATAGGAGGGGGGAGGAGCAAATATATTATACTACACACAGAAAAACAAAAGGCATACAAGGCAATATAACAACAAGGAATAAATAAGAATGCTAAGTATTAGTACAACTGCACAAGCTCTTGGGAGTTAGAGAAATCTAGTTCAGTTGCAATGTGAGCCTTTAGGTTGTTCCAGTCGATTATGGTTCGTGGTATGAATGATTGTGCGTAACTAAATGAGCGGCATGTGATGCGCGTCACTTTGAATGAATGATCACGACGTGAAAAGATAATTGGGGGTGTTTGAAAAAAGTCCTCATGAAGCGATGCATGGCGTTAGAGCTCGTGAAATAATGACGGACTGGCATGTTTACGGCGGCATGATAGGTCTTGCAACTCAGCTTGATTTTTAATGCGGTGACACTGGAATATGGAGAGTAGTTGGAACTAATGAAACGAGCAGCACGGTTTTCCAGGGACTCTATGTTACTTATAATGTAGGCTTGCTCAGGATCCCATATGGCAGAAGCATTTTCAATTTTGGGGCGGATTAGAGTGATATAAGCAAGTTTTCGTAAATGAGTGGGTGCTTGTTTAAGATTGCACTTTATGAATCCTAGGGAACGGTTAGCGGAAGCGAGATCAATCTGGTAGTGCTAGGATAAATCGGACTGAAAGTGGACACCCACGTTCTTATATGTAGAAGTGAGCAAGAATATTGTTTTTCAGAAGGTAAGAGGTTGGAATCTGAGTAGAGCATTTGGTAAATGATATGTTTTGTTTTATTACGGTTGAGGGTCATTAGCCACAAAGAACACCACGTAGTTATCTTGTCCAGGTTTGATTGGAGAGCTTGGCGATCGGTGTTAGAAAAGATGTTATGGTAGATGGCACAGTCAGCAAAAGAACTGACTAAAGGTGAAATGCAAGTGGGTAGGTCATTATATGAGAAAAAGTAATGGACCCAGCACGCTCCCTTGGGAACTCCAGATTCCACTTGGGCAAAAGAGCTGGAATCGTTAATGGAGGTGAACTGAAGTCTACTTGAGAGAAAGTATTTTATCCATTAGAGGACACATGTTACACTGTGCAGGTTTTAGTAAATAGCCTGTGATGGGAGACGCGGTCAAAAGCAGGGTTCGCACGGGTGCTTTAAAACCTTGAAAACCCTTGAATTTTAAAAATGCCATTTTCCACACCTTGGAAGTCCTGAAATTTGTAGCGGTGCTTGAAAACCCTTGAACTTCCCTATGATAGTCAGTGGTGCTACATTTTTTATAATAATAAAATAGAATCATGATTTTTCCGTGCAAGTTAAAAAAAATTTTCGAAACATACAACTCGGCATATTTGGTTGATACACGTTAAGCGCCTGGCTACAATGGTAGCAGTCCTGGTGGTTTCGAATCCGGTCTCGCCCGTCCGCTTTTCGTGATCTCGCGCCGTCGGTCGCTTACTCGCGTAGTGTTTGCTATTACAGCCCTGGTTTCCTTGTTTTGAGTCTGCTTTACGCAGCACATAGTGGACGTTGTTTAAGCTGTGCGCGATGCCCGGAAAGTGCAACTTCCAGCAGTCGTTATTGGGTCATGACGACTACAGACACTGGGTTGCGCCGGACCCAGAGAGCATGAATCGGGCAAAATGCAGACCTTGCGGGAAGACGTATGACGTCTCGTCAATGGGCGAGTCTGCACTAAAAAGCCACATGAAAGTGCGAAGCACAGTAGGAACACGAAGACGGCAGCAAGCAGCTCTATGAAGAACTATGTGACTCCGTGCTTTAGTGACCGATCATTCCTCGCGGGATCGAATTACGCGGGCTCGAATTTTCGCAAACCGTACCACAGCTGAAAATTTGGAATTATTCGCGGGTTCTAATTTTTGCGACTCGAATGTAGCTTCCGAGGTGTTGATATTGAGCCCAAATTGTTCGCGGGACTTGTTTTTCACGAATCATGGGCAATTCGCGAAAATTAAGTCGTTTACAGTATTGAAGGAATCCTTTAAAATATATTTCCAGGTCCTTAAAGGTCCTTGAAAACCCTTGAATATTTTTCTTTGAAGCCTGTACGAACTTCTCAAAATCTGAGAAGTTGGCAAAAAGCACATCAACCTGAAAACCAGCATCAATATATGTAAGTCGTGAACGAAACCGGCAATTTGAGTGTCACATGAGTAACCTCTGCAAAAAGCGTGCTGATACTTGAAAATAATGTTATGGTCCTCTAAATCGTGCATGACGGGAATTTATGATGTGCTCCAGAGGTTCACAAATAGTGCAAATTGAGCTCCTTTCATAGATAATTAAAAAAAGTGCAATAATGCAAGCTAGCAACAAAGTCAATACAGGGTCTTACCGCACACGGCTTATCTTTAGGTACCGGTATTTATTTCCTTCCCCGGCTCTCCTGCCAACTTGCATTCTTTGTGGCGACAAGGAAGTGTAACCTTGTAGAAGTGAAGATCAACTTAATGATCATGTTTTTCAATGTGGTGCTGTGTGTAGTACAGCCAACAGAGCCTAGTGCACATGCTTGCAGGAAAGAGCACACATCGAGGATGCTGTCCGCTCCAAGTTCTCGGGAACTAAAGCAAGAAATGAACGCATTTTCCGAACACATCACCAACAGGTTCAGAGCTGCTTATCGGTAAAGAAGTTCACCCTGGTTTGAAGCACTCATCAGGCATGCTTCCTTGGCTGCTGCTGCGGAGTCCTGGAGCAGCCGTTAAGTGCATTCCCTGCACTTTGTCTTCCGTATGCACTTGCGTGCAAGGTGCCCTGCGACGTAGAACACCAAGTGCGAGTCACTTCCTTTACTTATGAGGGACGGCTGGTCAGTAACGATGCCGCAAGCATCCAGCGTAGCCTTGACTTCCTGAAGGTTGCTAAGGTCAAGCAGGTCATCGACTCGTTGCTGACCGTTATTTGCATTAATTGCCTTAAGAAGGCTCCTCAGGGCACTTCCGGTAACATACCTCTCTGTTAGCAATCTTGTAAGTTTGGTGAATGTCATGCAGTTTACAGAGACGAGAAACTGTGAAGGTGCTAGATGGTCATTACGTTCCAACATTTGACGGAGGATTCTGAACAGATTTTATTCGGCTCTTGACTAAGTCGTGATGTGAGGAGGTACCCCAACACTTCTGTCACATAATGCAAGAGAGAAGCGTGCTTGAAAGCGTAACACGAAGTCCTTCGGCGGTGCTGCAACTGAGGAAGCCGTGCCGCTGCATTTTTGCCGATGTCTGCCATGTGTTGATGTAGCCGAGAAATTCTCGCAGCACAGCATCCTTTCTTGACCCAGGCCTTAAGGCATCCTTGCTGCAGCGGGATGTGTTAACACTGTTGAGGTCCCTCATCTTCTTGACACTGTCGCTGTTGTGGTACCAAACCTGCGCTCTACTTTTTGCTTATACAGGTAAGGGCCCCGAACTACCTCGTTGCTGTATAGGCAGATGGCGTGGCTGACGCTCATTTTCTCAAAGTTGTTCGGGTGTAGCACCGGCTTTGTGATGCGCGGCATGTCTCTCCATTGTGTGAGGCTCTTGTTCTCACACTTCCAGCTTTCTTGAATGTGCTCCACTAGGACTCATCCTTCTGGTGTGCAAAACACTGCCATCAGCATTGGTGATTCTCGAGCATTTCGCCAGGTGTAGAAAATCCGAAATGAAGTGCGGCTTTCTGCTTGGGTCTGCACGATGCTCCATCTTGTAGAAGATGTTCGTTGATGTTGCTTTAAGTCCAAATATTTTCCACATGTGCCCGTTTTATGCAGCAGTGTCGCATGTCACGAAGTCAATGAGAAGCCCAGCTTTCTAAGTCATCAGAATAGCATCTACGATATGTACGAGCATTTCGGCTTTTACATTATATTGTGACCCAAAGACGCCCATGATCTGATGTGGCGTTCCACCAAATGGCTGAAAGAACAGAAGCAGTCCATGGTCTCACATTAGGTGCCAGGCACGTAGCCAGAATTTTGATTCGGGGGGGGGGCCCCGCCCCCCCCCCCTCCCCTCGAAATTTTCCATCTTGCTGGGGCCTCCTCTCCCCCTCATACAGCATTTTGTCATGGGCATCTTTGGGTTGTGCAGGGGGAGAGGGGAGAGGAGGCCCCAACAAAATGGAAAATTTCGGGGGAGGGGGGGGGGGG